CTTGGAAGCACGTTGTACTGCTGCGGGTTTCTTGGTGTTGGACCACTCGTTTTGGCTCTTGATTTTTTTTTTCTCTTAATTTTCTTTGTCAACGTTTCGGTTATACTTATAGTTTACTTAGTCTGATTTTTTTGTATATATGAAAAGGCTAGTATTATTGACTCCAAAGGTTTTTTTAAAAAAAAAAAAATTTCCATGGTATCGGATTGCACACCGGAAGAGATAGCCATGTTATGTCTGAACACATTTCATGCAAATTTATTGACCAACGACTCGAGATGAAACAATCTATGTACTTTAGTCAATACAATTAGCTTATTAACGAGCTTACTTGGTTTTTAAAACAATCATTTGTATCGGCACTTGAAATTGTTTTACAAATTTATAGATATATTCTACATACACTCACTAATTCTAATAAAAAAAATTACAAAATGTTTTTACGCAACCAAAAGCTAACATACTTTCGTTTTCTTTTACTCAGTCGTCTACATTCAACTACGTCATCCATCCATTTCGAGAAGTTCAAAAAGCAACTAAAAAAATTATATAATATTTTGGTCGTTCAAACTAGAATAATGGGAGAAAATTTCATAAACTCATATAAACCTTATATCTCGACGATCCCCATATCTAATTACGTACTTTCTTATTTTGATTTATCTCATCTTGTTTGCGTTTGCTTCTCTTGTTAACTTTTCAACTATGTTCCACTGCTTTTCTTATACGTAGTTCTTTTATTATCCTATGGGCATAAGAATGGGCCTGAGGTCAATTATTGGGCCCATTTATTTCCCACGTAGTTGTTTGTTTTATCCTAATTGCTTTTTCATTCAAATCGGTTATAACTCTAAACATGCATTAAAACCAAAAAAAAGTTCATGACTTACAATGGTTAATTGGTTATATAAGTTATGAATCGTTTTTTGACAGAAAAGGCCACAATATATTTGTTTTAAAAAAATCCACTGATTGATACTTTTTTGGTTAAAAAAAATCCCGTAAGCCAAGTCACTAACAATTGATACATTTAGGATTTAAGTTTTCAATGAAAATCCGCAGTGTGTTTTCCACCCGTTAAATGTACAAAACATTTTCACCAGTTAGATAGAAACAAAAGAATTTATACCATCTGAAGCCTATACTATCCTTGAACTCATTTGGATTATGGATACAATAATAGCAATAAATCTCAACAAATCAAAGAGTCAAACTACGGTTACAATTATCAAAGGAAAAAAAAAACCACTTTAAGAAACCAAATCCGCCTATAATTAATATAAATTGACCAAACATAAAACATTTGATTAAACAAACAACAAAAAAGACCTCCGCCTAATTACTACCATAAAAATAATTACAGACTGTAAACAGTTATCATAACTCAATGCATTCAAACTCATTCTTCTTAATGTTATCAATCCTTCTATGAAAAAAATTTGGCTTTTAAACTCTGTAAAACCTAATACAATTTACATTACAAAACCTATCAACATAACAATACTATAATCATGACCAAACGACGCATTTGCTACATAGTTTCCGGAATCATTTCCATTCTGTTTATCATCTTCTTGATCGCTTTGATCCTTTCGCAAACCGTTTTCAAACCAAAGCATCCGATATTACAAACCGTGTCTTCGACTGTCGAAGGCGTATCCACATATGTAGTACCACCATTTGATGTCCAGCTAAACTTCACTCTTACACTCCAAATGCTGCTCAAGAACCCTAACCTTGCCGATTTCGAATACAAGACCGTGGAAAACTTGGTTTATTACAGGGATAATCTAGTGGGAAATCTCACTCTTCCTTCGAGCACACTCCCTGCGAAAGGCTCAGCGATTTTGCCGTGTCCTCTCGTTCTTCAAATCGATAAATTCGTTGCGGATTTAGGTGATATTGTGCAAGATATATTGCATGGGAAAATTGTGGTGGAGACAAAGGCAAGAATGCCTGGCAAAATTACGGTGTTGGGAATCTTTAAGGCAAATTTGGATACGTTATCGCATTGCAAACTCGTACTTGGCTTTCCTTCAATGGCAGTGGAGGATCAAGTGTGTGATCTTGAGGCTAAGCTGTAAAATTTGTTGAGGTCTTTTTTTTGTTTTAAGGTTAAACCTAGGCTTACGAGGGCAGATCTATTCTAGTTTCATGTAATAATAAAGATTGTAG